ACAATACTGAAACATCTAGGAAAATCTTTTATTTTTTTAAATCCTCACTCGAGAACATGCTTTTTATTGATTTTAGAGAGGGGAAAGGGGAGGGAGGGAGGAAAGAAGGAAGGGGGAGAGAGAAACATCAATTTGAGAGAAACATTGATTAGCTAGAGATTCAACCCACAACCTGGGTATGTACCCTGACCTGGAATTGAACATGCCACCTTTCCATATGGGACAACATTCCAACCCAGTCACATCAGCCAGGGCAGAAAATCTTGAAGTGTAAATATAATTCAAATTTTTATGAGCATGGGCTTAGAAAACAAAAATTTCAAAACAATATTTTTCTATTTCCTCTTTCACTTTTTTATTTCAAAATTATTTTTGGGAAAAATAGTATCTGATCAGTCACATGTGAATAAGCAAACTACACTAAAAAAATTAACAACAAACAGCAGCCCTTGCCAAAGCCGGTTTGGCTCAGTGGTAGAGCGTCGGTCTGCGGACTGAAAGGTCCCGGGTTCAATTCCGGTCAAGGGCATGTACATTGGTTGCGGGCACATCCCCAGTAGGGGGTGTGCAGGAGGCAGCTGATCGATGGCTCTCTCTCATCGATGTTTCTAACTATCTCTCTCCCTACCTCTCTGTAAAAAATCAATAAAATATATTTAAACAAAACAAAACAAAACAAAAAACAACAACAAACAAACAGCAGCCCTAGCTGGTTTGGCTCAATGGATAGAGCATCGGCCTCTAGACTGAAGGGTCCCAGGTTCGATTCCAGCCAAGGGCATATGCCTGGGTTGCCCGCTGGATCCCCTTTAGGGGGCGTACAGAGGGCAGCCAATCAATGATTCTCTCTCACCATTGATGTTTCTATCTCTCTCCCTCTCCCCCTTTCTCTCTAAAATCAATAAAAAAGATTAAAAAAACAAATATCAACTCAGAGGCTACTTTATTCTTCATTCTGAAAAAGATGCTACATATCAGCTAATTAGTCTTTAAATGGTCATATTAAGTAGGCTACAAAAATAAAGAGGTTCAGACTTACAATACTGTACTTATTTACTTGGCTAATCCTCACCGGACGATAGTTTTCCATTGGTTTTAGAGTGGAAGGAAGGAAGGAGGGACAGAGAAAAATTCATCAATTGGTTGCCTTCCACAGGCATTCCAACCAGGGTTGGGCATCGAGCCTGCAACAGAAGTACGTGCCCTTGACCCAAATTGAACCCGGGACCCTTCAGTCCTTAGACTGACACTTTATCCACTAAGCCAAACTGGCTAAGGCTGTAAAACTTATTTTTAACATTAAAAAAAATGTTTTATTGATCTTTTACAGAGAGGGAGAGGGATAGGGTCAGAAACATCGATAGAGAAACATCGACCAGCTGCCTCCTGCACACCCCCTACTGGGGATGTGCCTGACCAGAATAGAATCTGGGACCCTTCAGTCCGAAGGCCAACGTTCTATCCGCTGAGCCAAACCGGTCAGGGCTTTAACATGTTCTTTAATCTACTTAACTGCGCTCATTTATTTTTTTTTATTTATTTTTTTTTTTAGGGCAGAATAAGAGGATTTTATTTTTTTTTAATTTTTTTTTTAAAGCAATCTTTATTGTTCATATTATTACAAAGGTTCCTCATTTCTTCCCCCCTCCACCAGGTTCCCACCCCACCCTCCGTCCTCCCCCCTCCATCCCCCATTGTCCTCATCCATAGGTGCTTAACTGCGCTCATTTAGAATGGATAAATTATTACATCCTCACAGCCCTTTCCTGTTTGTAAAGGGCTTTTCCAGATTTAATTCTCAGCAACCAGGTATGGTAGACAGATGGTCCCATTCTCATAATAGGAAGAAACTGAGGCTCAAAGAGATTAATTTGCCTAAATGCATTGTGACAGGAAACTGAAGTGGAGGAATGACTCCAAATTCTACATGGAAAGAAAGCAATTACTTCAATACTTAAGAGCAAAAGAAAAGCCTCAGACTTCCTATTGGTTAAAACAAAACAGATTATCTACAAATTCATACTGTCTGAAAAGCAATGATCACTGGAGCCTGCCTGCATTTCTCTAGTAGCTTTAATATCAATTGAAAAATGAATAATCATGTTTTGGATCTCAAAGTATTAAATTTGCAAGCAAAAACAGGACGTATAAAAGGCAGAACCATATTATTTTCTCACATTGGCAAATGTAATGAAAGGTGTTCCCAAATCTATGATTTACCACTGTTGAGATTATTCCTTAACAAGGAAACACTTTCAAAACAACTTTCTTCCAAAGCTTATTTGCCAGATTCCATAAATTAGTTGCTACCAATGGCCTATATCAGAGAGAGGAACTCCCAACTAAACAAAAGGCTTTTCTTCCAATCTAAAAAGGTACATTAAATACATGATGCTGGCCACATTACATAATGATGGAAAACAACAGCTGATAGCCAGTTTGGGACACATGCCAACTGTTCCCATTTGTCTGACAATATTAAAATTAATTGCTACAACACTGTTTTCAAAGAAAATCATTATCTCTAAATGAGAAAATATAATCAACTAAAATATTAAAAAAGGCTCAAGATAATGGTGCCTCTCTATTACAATATTAGTTTTAAAAATTTTAATGTTCTGAAGTATAAGTAAACACATCTCAACAGCTTTATATGTTTTCATATATTTTATTTTTTAACACTTATAATTTTGCAAGCTAGCAGTAAAATATTATCCTCAATATTTTACTAATTAGCACCGTATACCTTTTAAAGCTAACTGGAACATTGTTTCATTGTAAATGATTGTAAAATAAAATGATCATATTAAATGCCAAATTAGTCTCAAGTAACATGTGAATCATTAATTTTATCAATATTTTTGGCTTTATGCACAAAGATGTATTTCAAAGATGAACTTAATAGTAAAATCAGTTCTGTCAATCTAACAAATCAAAGTACCACAGTTAAAGCAATATTTAATCTCTGAAATTATATAAAGAGGCACATATGAAAATTGAGAAATCAGCTATAAAAAAACAAAAGATACTATGTAACTTAAATAAAGTTCCTTATTTCTTAGAAAAATGAGGAAAATTCCATGGTACAAGTATCAGATACACATATGGTTTTGTATATGTCAGTATCTTCCTGCTTTAGAGTTTGGCCTTACCAGAAAGCTATCAGAATGTTCAGGGTAATTCAAGGGACAACTGGAAGCCTGAAATAAAATTGCTCAGTGCATGAGATCCCAAGCCATTCATATAATTTTAAATGGAAGCCCACATATTTAACTTCTATTTGTTTCAAACTAAAAAAATCTTTTGAAAGTACGGAAAAATATCTAATTAACATATTCAATTTACTTCTACACCTTAAAAAAGGGGGATTTTTTTTCATTTCCTGTTTTGTGATAAGAGCATTCTTCAGAGCTATGGGGTTAAGTTTTAAGCCACCACTGACTGCTTACTAGCATGCCTGTTTTGCATACCAGTAGAATCCAGTCCAGTTTTGCCATTTGTGGATAACTATGACAAGATACAAAAGCATGTGTATGCCATAAATAGCTCTGGCTAACAGCAAACTGCTCACACTGAGCAGATCAAATTCTCTATAAGGAGAGCAGTCTGGACCACAGCCAAACCCCACTCCTAATGTTTAAAACTGCTATATCAATTTTTTTTTCCAATTTGTAAAATATATTAAGAAATAGCAGCTAAAATTAAAGTCCTTAAATATGAGAAGTATTACTAAACTTGTGGACATTTTACAAATTATTTTTATTATAAGAGCTTCATGTTTTTACTACTTAACTACTTAAAAATGTAAACGTGAATTAAAAAATAACTACCCTAATTTATCCAAAGAACAAATCAGGTATTGGAGAGTATTTATGTCAAAGTGCAAAAAAAAAAAGAAAGAAAAAAATTGATTTCCGTATGAATAAAGAAATAAACTAATGCTTATAAAGTATCCCTCTGTATTTTATATTAGTTGGCTTTAGGATATTTTTTTAAACCAAATAAACCCAACAAAACTGGAAAATACCATGCATGAATGTCGTAAGAAAAAATTCTTAAATGACCAATGCCGAGATTAATAATAGCTGTTTGCTTCACATAACATTTGCAAAATGTCCAAGGAAAACAAGGCAACGTTCCCATAACTTGCCACAATTTTTATTGCAAAGTGGCCATTTTTGTGAGGGTAGGGAGTTTGATCTCAAAAACAACGTTCCATTTAAGGCTCTTTTATACAGAAATTGCCATCATGACTGATAAAGTATCTTTAGTGTTGCAAGACTTACATGGTAAACATAAAACTCCTACCTACACTTATTCAGTAGTGTACACTCAATGGAAAACAAAAAGGCATTAATATCAGCTACTTCTTTTAAGAAGATTCGCAGGTAACAGGAATGAACACTGACTTACTAGGGTAAATTGATGACACAGTTAACACAACTTATTGGCATTCCTTTTGAAGGTGGGAAGTTAAACTCAATACAAAAAAAAAAAGTGCTTTCGATGCATAGTGTTATATCTGTGCTGCCATGTCACAAAAACAGGCTTGCCAAGGCAGGTGAGGTGTATGAATGCTGAAGCCTCACAGAACTGCAATCAAATGCAACTATAAATAATACTGAATAAAGTTTACCATCTGACCAGTGGATAATACTTTCAAGGCATTCAATTAGCTTACCCTTTGCAGTACTCTAAGCTATTCACATTGACAATCACATTCAGTGTAGTGCTTGCTGCAAGGGAGGCATGTCCGCAGCTGTTTTGGCTATAATTTCATGGGAAGGCATTCCTTGGGTTCTACATCAAAGGAACAGCACTGAACAGTCTAATGGCAATCACTGATAGGCTGCTTACATGAATGATATTTCCTTCATCCATTGTGATGAAAGGACCCAGTGGGAAGAGGAAAAACGGAAACAAAAACCTAACGCTATTCCAATGGACTGAGCTGGAGAAATGGAAGCTCCTTACGATCCACATGGCACTTGACTGTCATTTTATAAGGGTTTTCCTTCAAGTGAAACGACTACGTTGCCTCCCAATTTCTCTCCAAGGGTTGAACGGTCCTTTATGTCATCCAAGCCATTTACTTGCCACTCGTGTTTAATGCCTAAAAAGAAAAGAAAAAACGTGACCCATGACCTTATTATAATTAAGAAAGAGTAATTCCTCTGCATAAAATATTCCATGTTTGTACCTGTAAATTTCTTCTTAATGGCATCTTTAGAGCTAGCATAAATCATCTTGCTTTTTAAAGGTGCACTTTCAGGAGCCCTACAGAAGGAAAAAAAAAAAGAATTGCTGAATACCACTTAAAAGAAAAACAAAAGGCAAAACTGACTATGTTAATAACAATCCTTGCATTTTAAAAAGTACTTTTTTTCTTTTGTTTTTACACACCAGAATATAAATACTAGGTCTTCTTTCTTAGACTCTTTTGTTTCGTATGTGGCATCGTACAAAGCATATCGGCAATCATTCAGAGGTAGCAACTTCACAAAAGATGTGTAGGGGTCCTCTACAGTATCACCAATGTCACCCACCAAGATCTGCTTTGCTTCCTCTACAATTATTTGTCTTTTGTCATCACTTAGACAGAAGAGAACCGCTTTCTTTCTTTTTTTGATCTCTTCTTGTGTAGAAGATTTCCTTACTTTCATATCATTAAAAACTTTGATGACTTCATCATTCACTGTAACTCCAGAAGCCTAAAAAAAAAAGAAGAAAAAAAAGAGAACAAACAGTAAATCAGAACTAAGTATTTTGGTTTAACCAAAATTACTATTTGCCTGGAGAGGATTCACTTTAGTCTGGGCAGCAAAAATTGCACCTTCCCGAGCAAGCAGTCCAATCCGGATCTGCCACATTTTTAAGTGCCAGCATATTATACGTCTAAGGATTCTAACTCATCCTGCCCCATCCATCCTTTTAAAGGCGGCTTGCTGGTTGAAGCAAACGGGAGGCAGATGGAAAGGGACAAATACAAGCTGTCCCATCCCTGACATGTTTCCTCTTTCACTGGGTGATGTCAGAGCTTCGGGAGCAGCGGCAAAAATACCTTTTGTATTGTGTCAACTCTGCGGGCCTTAAAAAAAAAAAATACCACTTGGATTTCAGTTAATGCTCCTACTATTTTTTTTTTTTCTTTAAAGTCATCTAGCCAGTGCCGTTTCCTCATAAGGAAAGAGAATCAGTGTGAGCCCCAAACCGCCCACGGCGGGCACATCCCCGCCTCCCGGCGCGAACGCAGGCTCCGCGCTAACGGGTCCGGCGCACGGGCTTTCCTCCCGGGAGCGCGCGTTAGGGAGCCGTTCCCCACCTCCCTGCGCCCCCCGAAAGCGTTCCCCCCGCAGGCCGCCCAGCCCCGCGCCCAAAGCCTCCCTCCCGCAAGGCCCCGGGGCCCGGACCCATTTTAGAGCCGCGCGTGTTCGGTGGAGCTGGCGGCGAAGGGCAAAGGCGGCGCCCTCGGCGGCTCCGCAGCCGCGCCCGCGCCGTCACCGCTCCCGGGGCCGCGCCGCCGCCCCGGCCCCCCGGCCCCCGGCCCGGCCCTCCCGCCCCAGGAATCCGAGGAGCGGCTGGGCCCAGCCCCGGGGCGGGAAGGCCGGCCGGCGGAGACCCAGCCGCGGGGCGCCGCACAGGAGCGCCCACCCTGGAGGCCCAAATCAGGTTAAAATGGCGGGCTCCCTCCCAGGCTCGCCGCGCCCGGCCCCGGCCCCGACCCCCGGCCACGGCCCCCCGGCCCCCCGGCCCCGGGCCGGCGCGCCCGCCTCACCATAGTGCCCGCGGCTGTGGCTGCGCGGCTGGGCTCGGCGGCTGAGGGCGGAGGCGGAGGCGGAGGCGGCGGCGGAGGGGCGGGAGCGGCGAGTGCGGGGCACGCCGGGAGCTGCAGCCCGGGAGGCGGCGGCGGCTGGGGGGCTGCGGGCGGCGGTCACGTGGGCGCCCGGCAGCCCTTCCGCCTCCGCCCCGCCCGCGTCCTCGACCTGACCCGGCGCGCGCCGCCGCCGGCTGCGCCCGCCTCCCGCCTCCGCCCGGCCCCGCCCGCCCCGGCCCCGGCGAGGGGCGTCCCGCGCGGCCTCCGGGCGCGGAGCGTGTGAGGCGGGGCCCCCGAGGTGTCCCCCGCCCCCGGCGGTTTCCCTGGGCGGAGGGGCTGGACTCCACCCCCTGAGTCCCTGTGGAAAGCCCCCGCGCGCGCCGGGTGCTCTCCGTCCTCCAGGGACAGGAGGGAAACCCCCTAGGGGTTGGTCACCCAGTGGGCTGGGTCACTCCGGAAAAAACAAAGGGAAAACAGGTGGAAAATCACCGTCTGAAGCCCGTGGCTGAGATAATAGGGGGAACGTGGGCAGTAACCTCCCACGGGGACACCCTTTGTGTGTGAGGCCTCATAGGGCGGAGTGGGCTCTTCCCTGCAAGCCCAGCCCGGTCAGCCCGCGAGCAGATCCCCCTCTCCGGGCCGCCACCCCTCCTGGCTGGCACAACGGGGCCAAGGCCCTTCTCTCACTAACTTTTTCCTGTTTACAAGGATGCCGTTTGTCATAGAAAAATACTTTGAGGAAAGTGTTCATAAGTATTTAAAGGAACTCATGAAAACGTTATAAATGAAACACTTCAATTAAGTATTTAATTACTTTGGGCTGATTTATCCTACCTTTCTCCTTAACACAATTTTTTACTTTACTTACTTCATTTGTAAATTGCCGGAACCTGCGGCAACGAACAGTACCTGATTGAGGGGGTGAGGATGAGAAAAAAGAAAAGACAAGAAAAGATGGGGTCGGGAGGACCGAGACTGAAGTCTGCAGTCCCGAATTTTATTTTTCCAACCTTTCAGTACAATTCTGAAGGAGGAAATATTTATTTCAGGCAATCATACAGGTGGCCGTTTCTGCTAACGTGATGAGTTCCTGTACAGAGAAGTTCCTTCAGCACCTGACCTTTTACAACCACCTGACCTTTTACAACTCCTTTTACAGCTCCTTCTGTGTCAGCAGGCTCCTATCAATTGTTTTACCCTAAAGCAAAGACATCTGCAGTTAGCAGCATTCCTAGGGGTAGTGGTAATTTTCCACTTAGGTTAATGGAAAAGGGGGACACATGGAGAGCTGTGCCTGCATTCAGGCATATAGGACCCCTGCATTCAGGGCAGCTCCCCACAATAAATTGGCAAAATGAGTTTAAAACTCTGATCAGCAGTGAAACTGATTTTGTGAAAAAAAAAGACTTGCACTAAAAAGATAGGATTTTTATTGCCTAAACATGTTGGGAACAGAATAGTAAGTCCAGATAAACCTTGAAGGAAGCTAAGCCGGAAGGGCAGTATATTTGGGGGCAGGGATTTGGAGAGATGTGGGTATTAATGTTGGCATGGCCCATCTCCGTAACTTCCCCGGCTTTCCATCCCTGCAGACCTTAGTTGCTCTATGTGTAAAACAAGTTCTGATGAAATGATCTTTAAAATACTCTCCAGCTTTGAGGTTCAGTTTCCTACTATATCAGTGTTTCTCAGGAAAGAGTGGATATACCTTCTCAGGATTAAGTAAGTTTAGGGGTGGAAAATCATGAAAAGGTGTTATGTCCTAGTCTGTACAAAATGATAAATTCTGGTATCCAAAATTCAACATATTTTATTTTTATTTATGTATGTTTGTATGTATGTATTTATTTATTTTTTAAAAATATATTTTTTATTGATTTTTTACTGAGAAAAAGAGAGAGATAGAAAGTTAAAAACATCGATGAGAAAGAAACATTGTTCAGCTGCCTCCTGCACCCCTCCCACTGGGGACGTGCCCACAACCAAGGTACATACCTCTGACCTGAATCGAACCTAGGACCTTTCAGTCCGAAGGCTGATGCTCTATCCACTGAGCCAAGCTGGTTTCAGCAAAATTTAACATATTTTAAATGGAGATTGCCCAGCAAACATAGATCTGGTTTTTATGTCCATTGTTGTTTATTTTCTTAATGGGAAGAATGACTTAGTTTAGAGATAAAAAATTGAGAAGAAATTTCCCAATATCTAAGCATGAATCCCAAGCAAGTAGATAATACTTTAACATATAGCTAGAACATTATAGTTTATGAAACCTTTCCCTTTCTTTATCTCTATTTAAAAAAATATACTCTTACTGATTTCAGAGAGGAAAGGAGAGGCAGAGGTAGAAACATCAATGATGAGAGAACCATTGATCAGCTGCCTCCTGCACACCCCCCCACTGAAGATCGAGCCCACAACCTGAGCATGTGCCCTGACAGGGAATCAAACCCTAACTTCTTGATTCTTAGGTCGGTGCTAACCACTGAGCAATGCCGGCAGGGCTCTTTCTCCCTTTGAAATTCCATGGGAATCATGGGAAGGTTTCTCCAGGGCTCCAAACATCTACTATGTGTGGGTATCAGCAATTCTCCTTCCTGTACTCTTCCTCTCAGGGATCCCCTCTTTTCTCAGCCTTTAAATATGCAGCAAAGAGATCCCACAGAGGCTACAGCCCTCACAGAAGGTAGATCTAAGGTCGCCTAGATTCGGTGTCGGAACCCCTCCCACCAAAGGTGTTAGACACCCCCCTTGTGACATCAACCCCTCTCCAAACCTCCCTGCTCCTTTACCTTCCCTAAGCAGAGCTCATCGCCCATGCTCTAGGATTCTTTTCCTGAAGATATTTTTGTCTTTGCAGATATTTTTTTTCATTCTTTTATTAAGGTATTATATGTGTACATATCTTACCATTGCTCTTTGCAGATATCTTTGATGCCTTGAAATAACTTGTTTATGTGTTCTGCCGCCCTACTAGACTGCAAGCTCCTTATGAATCTGAGTTCTATTCATCTTTGAATTTCTGGAACCTGGAACATAGTAGGTGCCCAATAGATGGTGTAGTAATGAACGTAAGGTGCTTCAGTGCTATTAAGAGAACAAAAAGGAAGCTCCTGAGGACTGTGAGGTCTTTCTATTATATGTGTCTTGTGAGGCTGGCCCTTAGAACCTTGGGGTCAGTAGCAACTCCTTCTCTTTATACCTGTTATTTCTAACACCTGCCACCGCTTACGTGGTAAAGGGACAGCATTATCAGGCATTGCTGCATGAATTTTGGCCCCTGTATCGTGGAAGGATCTAAATGTTAAATACTGCTGAAACCGGTTTGGCTCAGTGGATAGAGCATCGGTCTGCGGACTGAGAGGTCCCAGGTTCGATTCTGATCAAGGGCACGTACATTGGTTGCGGGCACATCCCCGGCAGGGGGTGTGCAGGAGGCAGCTGGTCGATGTTTCTCTCTCATCGATGTTTCTAGCTCTCTATCCCTCTTCCATCCTCTCTGTGGAAAATCAATTTTTAAAAAAATGTTAAATATAATACCTATATTAGTTTCCTGTGGCTGCTGTAACGAATCACCACAAATTTAGTGGCTTAAAAACAACGCAAACTTATTGTCTTGCAGTTTTGGAGGCCAGAATGATTCTTATAGGGCTAAAATCAAGGCTATCGGCAGCACTTGATTGCTTTTGGAGACTGTAGAGGAGAATATGTTTTCTCACCTTTTCCAGCTCGGAGGCTGCCACGTACCTTGGTTTGTGGCTCCCAGACAGCAACGGCACCACTCTCATCTGCTTTCGTCACCACGTCTCTGACTGACTCTCTGCGGCCTCCCTCCTCCACTTCTAAGGATTACTGGGATTAGTTGGGACCCCTGGGTAATTCTAAATCTTCCATCTCAAAATCATTATATTAATCACTATGTTCTGGATTCTGAGGTTTAGGATAGGGACATCTTTTGGGGCCATTATTTTTCCTACCACACCACACATGTTCTCTTGAGCAATTTCAAGTCCAAACAATTAACAGGGATGATCCTGAACAATCCAGTACTAGAACATACATCTAAGCTCTAATTTTCTCTTTGCTGGGCACAGGGATGGCAGAAAGAAACAACCATTAGGAACCAAACGAGAGTAACCTCAAAGAGGATGGATCTAGTCTGGCTGCATGGCTCAGTGGTTGAGCATGGACCTATGAACCAGGGAGTCACAGTTTGATTCCCGGGTAGGGGTCAGAGCACATGCCTGGGTTGCTCTCCAATGGGGGCGTGCAGAAGGCAGCTGATCAATGATTCTCTCTTATCACTGATGTTTCTCTCTCTCTCTCTCTCTCCCTCTCCTTTCCATTCTGAAATCAATTAAAAAAAAGAGAGAGCCGAAACCGGTTTGGCTCAGTGGTAGAGCGTCGGTCTGCGGACTGAAAGGTCCCAGGTTCGATTCCGGTCAGGGGCATGTGCGTTGGTTGCGGGCACATCCCCAGTAGGGGGTGTGCAGGAGGCAGCTGATTGATATTTCTCTCTCCTAAATGTTTCTAGCTCTCTATCTCTCTCCCTTCCTCTCTGTAAAAAAAATCAATAATATATATTAAAGAGAGAGAGAGAGAGAGAAAGAGAGAGAGAGGCTGGATCTGAATGGAATCTCAGCTCTGACACAGTAGTGTCATTTACTTAACTGCTCTAAGGGTTTTTCCTCATGTATACCTCCTCCCTCTTGGGATCAGGGTGAGGATCAAGTGCGATGGTGTATGTAAAGCTTCCGGCACAGGGATAGGAACCCAAGGGCTGTGTTACCCCCAGTGCAGAGTGAGTGAAGTGAGAACATGATTTTCCTCTTACAGGCAGCAGTCATGTGGCCTCCCAAGCCTCACTGTATCGATTTGTGAGGCTCAGCTAAAGTGAATTTACTCAAGAGTCCTTAGGAAATTGGAAAAGTGAATACCTCCTAATGCATATTCTCCCAAGAAAC